AAACCGATAGAGCATCTCTTGCATTGAACACACAAACAAAATACAAAGTTTACAAATACAGGCCGAAATTGAGAGAACCACACTCAGGTAGTCTAGATCACAATAACAAGACTAAGACATAGCTAAAGTCAACATTAGAGGGTAAAGCAGTGATATACCACCGGCCCTTTACCCTTGCCAACACAATAAAACAATCATACATAATTAGATGGACCACTGATATAAATCCTAGCCCATCAACAATTCGTTGCGATGGTTGCTTAACTGGGCTCGTCGGACACTTGGTGGAAGCCGCAGGACAAAGTGACATTATCGAGAGAAGTGCCGACGGGAGGGGTCTTCTGTGCCGGGGAGATGGTAGTTCCGCCCCAAATTCCGGTTTTTGCCTTTTCTGGTGCCGGGAAGGAGTGGCGGGCAGCTGTTTTCACCGGAATCTTCGCTACGGCAGTCCTCCGGCGCTCTCTTGAAAGTCGACGGCAGAGTGTGACAGAGCAGGTGAGCCTCGGTCAACGTCTGGTTGATTCCTTATGTGGTTGTCGATTGGCTTCGATTAGTGGGTTCACCGCCTTGTTTCCAGGGTCGGAGCTTGGAGGTTCATGGGCGATTTCAAGATGGGCTTCTGGGTTTGGACTTTTGGGGCTTGAGGTTGAGTTATCATTGGCCGGCGAGGTGTTGAGAGGTGTGTTGGTCGGCGGATGGCAAGGAAATCCAGCGTCCTGTCCTTGGTCGAGGTGCCGGAGTAGGGAAACGGACAACTTCTTCTCTTCCGGTTCTCTAGTGTGGGAACTGGATGGGCCCGGTCGACGGGAGCTGGCCAGTTGTCCTCTCGATCGAAGGTGGGTTGATTCGGGTTTGTCTCGGGATCCAAGTTTAGCTTCTGTATAGGCGTTCGACAACAGTTTCGGGAGTTGGGCCTAGGATTTCGGATATTTCTTGGATTGACTGTTTCTCTAGTGGATACGATCCGTTTTATTGGCTGGGGAAGGGCGTTTCTTTAGTATTTATTTTATCTGTTTTGTGTTATATGTGTTGTGTTGTAATAGGACTTGTGTTTTTGGTTTGGGCCGTTGGCCCCTGTGATCCCAAGTGTCAAACTTATTACTCCGTTGGGGTCCGACACTAGGGTATTACCCTGTTGGGGTCCTTGTAGTTGTTCTAGTTGTTTGTGTTGTTGGTTAGTTTAGTTGTGAGTGTGTTTTTTATTCTAGCGTTGCTAGTCGGGATTCTAGGCGGGCTTCTGACCTGTCCTCCCACTGGTTGTTGTGTATTTAGCCGTTGGCTGCTGTGTATTCACACATTTGTGCATTTTGATTTATAAAATTATCTATCGTTTCGAGAAAAAAAAAACAATGATTATTACCTATAATTGGCCTGAACCATCCTACTGCCTAAGAAGGTTTGCCAATCCCTGATAGCAGCTTGGACAATAAGATGTGCAGGCCGTTTAACTCCTTCAAATATTCATAAATTCTGGGACTTCCAAAGCCACCATAAGATGTATGCTGAGAGTTGAATTCGGGCTTCAGAAACCTCAGATTTATCAAGTTGACACACTTGCCACCACCAACTTTTAATGGATTCCTGCTTCTGTGGGCCTTCCCAACTAACTGGAGCCATCTTCCATGTATCCTGGGCAATACTACATTGGAAAAACATATGTTCAACAGTTTCTTCCCTTTCACCACAGCATCTGCATATTATATCTATCTGAAATCCCCTATCTTTGAGGTTCATAGTGACGGAAGGGAGCCATTGCAGCATTTTCATAGAAAATGCTTAATCTTCCCCATGATTTTAAGCTTCCAGCTTTTGTTCCTTACCTTCATGTCCCTACTCAAATCTGCACTTCCTTGGGCTCTATCTAACTTCAAGTATTTCTCTGTGATTAATTTTTGGTAGGTGGATTTTACAGAGAATATACCTTTGCCATTAAGAGCCCAAATCCATTTGTCCTCCTTCTTTGGATCCAAATTGCCTATGCTGAGAATCTGATCACTGATTATGGTAGGGAATGTCCTTCTCACTTTGGCCTCATCCCAGTGGTATCCATCCTCTGTCATCAGATCACTTACCATTTTAATATTTCTGTCCATGCCTGATAGTACTTCTACTGTCCTTCCCTGCATTGTTGGAATCCAGTGTTCATCCCACATACTGATTGACTTCCTATTCCTTATTTCCACCTTCATTCATTTCCCACACATTTACAGAACAGAAATCCAACAATTCCACAGCCATGAGAAGTTGGCCTTCCTCTGAGCCTAAAAAAGAGAAGAGTTTGGATAGTATTTTGCCTTAAGCACTTTGCTAACCAAGGAGTGTGGAAGTCTCCAGAGCTGCTTGGCTATAAGTGCCTCATTGAAAAGTTGGATATCCTTAAAACCCAAGCCTCCATGCTCTTTTGCTAATGTCAGGTTATGCCAGGCTACCCATGGAAAGCTCCTTTGATTATTTGATCCTTTCCCGCACCAAAACTGACATCAAAGTTTGGATATTTCCTTACAAATTCCAGCTGGTAGCACAAAGCAGGACATGACATATACTGGTAATGCTTGAATGACAGCCTTTAGTAAAATTTCCTTGTCTGCAGTAGATAACCACTTATTCTTCCAATTTAGCATTCTACTCCTCACCACAGACAGGATATAGTCAAAAGCTTCTTTTTTTGATCTGCCAATCCCCATAGGTAGTCCCAGATACCTTGTAGATGAATGTACTTGAATTCCAGCCATTAATGCACATACCCTGTCACTGACTTCCACAGGTGTTTTTACTGAAAAATATTGTGGACTTAGATAAGTTTACCTGCTGCCCTGTGAAGTCCTTGTAAGCCTGCAGCATTCTCATGATCAGTGCTACCTGCCTCTCTTCAACTTTGCAAAATAACAAGGTGTCATCAGCAAACATGAGGTGAGTTAAGGTTGGTCCTTCCCTAGATAGCTTTACTCATTTGAAGCAGCCTCTTCTGGCCTCTGTATTAATTCTGGCAGACAAAAGTTTAGAAGTTATGAGGAATAAGTAAGGGGAAAGAGGGTCCCCTTGCCTTATTCCCCTAGATGCATTAATCAAACCACACACTCTGCCATTAATATTCACTGAAAAGGAAGGATTTTGAATGCAGGCCATAACCCATTTAACAAATTGAAAGTGAAAACCCATTCTAAGCATAGTGAGTTGAATAGCTTTCCATTCTAGTCTGTCATATGCTTTGGCCATGTCCAACTTTAGAGCCATAAAACAGTTTTTACCACTCCTGTGTCTATTAAGAAAATGAAATACTTCATGCCCAATTATGACATTATCAATTATATTTCTACCAGGCAAGAAAGCAGATTGATTATCTGAAATACAAACATGCAAACATTGCCTTAACCTCAGAGCTAATATTTTTGCCACTATTTTATAAAAAATTGAGCATAGACTGATGGGCCAGAATTGTTGCACAGATACAGGGTTAGGACATTTAGGAACCAAAGTGATTAAAGTATGCTTTCAATACCTGAGAACTTGCCCTGAATTGAAAAAGCTTATGACTGTCGAGCATAAATCTTGCTTTATAATTGGCCAAAAATGCTAGAAAAAAAGGCCAGTCATGCCATCATCTCCTGGAGCTTTGTCAGGATGAATACTTAATAGAGCTTGTTTAACATCCTCTTCTTCCACTGAGGCAATGAGCAAATTATTCATGTCTGCTGTGATTTTAGGCTCAATCAAATGTAAGGATAAATGACCATTCTTTGTGCCCTCAGATGAGTATAATTGTTCAAAATGATCTGTAATAATCTGTTCCACTTCCTGCTGGTCATCCACCCATCTGTGACCATCCACCAACAACTTATCTATAGCATTCATTTTCCTCCTCTGTGCAACATATGCATGAAAAAATTTAGTATTACTGTCTCCCTCTTTGAACCATAGAAGCCTTGCCTTTTGGTGCCAGAATATTTCCTCAGCCACATTTGCTTCATCAAGCTCTTTCTGAAGTCTGTCCCAGGTCTCCCAATTTCTGTTCCCTCCTGCTTTCCTCATGTCCTCTAACTTCATAGATAACTCTGAGATTTGGGCCTTATGTTCTGAGTTGAAAAATCTGCTCCATCTCAATAGTGCTAGTTTGGCTGTCTTAATCTTCTCCTTTACCAGAAACATTGGTGTTCCTTGTTTAGGCTCATTCCAAGCAGCCTGAATCACTTCTTCTACACCCTCCTTATGGATCCATCTTTTGTCAAATTTAAACCGCTTCTTGAATTTCTGTCTCCTTATTGAAATATCTATCACCAGTTGACAATGATCAGAAGCACTCTTAAAGTAGCTAGTAACTGAAGTCTGAGGAAAGCATTCTAGCCATTTAAAAGTTACAAAAGTTCTGTCCAATGCCTCTTCCACAAAACCTTCACCAGACTTGTTATTAGGCCAGGTATAAAACTCTCCTTTCACTGGAACTTCTTGAACTCCCATCTACGCTAAAAAATTATTAAACCCAATACAGCTATTAGGAGATCTGCTTCTACCACCTCTTTTGTCATCTGGACTGCATAGGTCATTTCAATCACCGGCTATAAACCACCTCTCACCCCAAGCTATCTTGTCTATAATTAATTGCCTCCATTGCATTTCTCTTATAGTTTTAATAGGGCTTATGTACACAAAAATTGCCCACACTGGCTTCTGATATACCTTCATAACAAATTGAACAGCTATGTAAAAGTCTGTACTGGAGATCTGCAAAATAGTCATCTCTTGGTCCCATAGCAAAAGAAGACCCCCACTTGTACCTTTGGCCTGGACTATATAATGTCTGTCATGGAATCCCATTTTCTTGCACACTGATATAATGAATTTTGAGGATTTTTTAACTTCGGATAGGAATATTAAACTTGGGTGGTGAAGCCTTAGTGTCTCCTTAATCTGGGAAACTGTAGAGGGCCCACCCAGACCTCTACAGTTCCACAACAGAGCTAACATTAGGATGGTGAGGGCTCATTAAGGTTAGCCCTCTCAACCTCTTCAGTCATGAGCTTTGCCTTCTTCCCTTGCTCAGTTGTTGTGTCAGTCTCCTCATTGGTATTAACCTCCCCCTCTCTAATACTTAGCCCTCTTTTCTTTGGGTTATTCTCCAAAGCTACACTTTCCGCAGCACTTTTTAGAAGTTTCCCTTCTTTCTTGGTATTGCTCTTACATGTCTTCATCCCAGTCATTGAGCTCGGCAGAGTTCTCTTGGGTTGGTCTTTTGTGTTGATGTTCTGACTACCCTTATTCCCACTGGAATCTTCCGCCATCTTATCTGCTTGACCCTGGTCTTTCTCTTGCACTGCATAATTAGTTATAGACCTCTTATTGTCCTTGTCCAAGCTTGTTGTGATAGGATTTAAATTAACCTTTGAAGAGCTGGATTCCACCCTGTGCTGCTCCATTTCTATAACCATCTGGTTGGTGGTCTCATCATTTGATAAAATATTCATATCCCCTAGAGTAGGGGATGAGACTTGTTCCCATTCTTGCCCTGAAGAGGAGTTTTCCATGTTCCACAGTTGTCCTTGCAGCCATTTTACTGCTCTCATCCACTCTCCATATTGGCCTTCTCTTAAGCATTTCGCCGTGACGTCCTCCATTCTCTGTTTGCAAGCTTTCTCAATGTGCCCCACCTTCCCACAATAATAACATAAGTTAACTAACCTCTCATATTTGAAAGTTACTGTCACCATCTGTGAGCCTATCCTGATCGTAGTGCAGCGTGGTAGGGTCTCTCTTATATCCACTGAAGCTAGTAGCTTAATGAGTCGACCCTCTTGACTTCCCAAATTACAGACCAGGACATTGTACACAGCTTTAAGTACTCGGCCTATTTTCATTCCAACCTCTGATGTTACCCAATGAAGAGGTATACCATGAATTTGTACCCACCGTTTCAATTCATTAAAACAATCTATTGTGTTATTAAGCCCTTCCTTCCATTCCGAGAGGATAAGAAATTGGTTTTCAAATATCCAATTCGTTCCAGTTGCTACCCTCTGCATATCCTCTGGACGGTCGAAAATAAATTGAAAAAAATTCGCAGCAAGTTCTCGTACCTCAAGAGCCCCTTTTACCCTCCATATTTGTTCCATGGCCCTTTTGATCCCCAGTAGATTTGCTCTTTTGTCTCCAATAATTCTCCCAAACAGGCTTTTATGGCACTCCTCGACACTAGCTTGAACATCCTCAGATCCCAAATCGATGATTTCACTTTCCACTGATGATAGGGAGAATGTCCTCAAGCGTTGCCCTAATTCATCTGTTATGCTCTCGTCCGGAACTTTCGCCATTGATGTAATACCTAATCACTTTCTAAGTACGCGCACCGATCACGTCACTAGCAACACTATCAAACTCTCCGATGAGAGAAAGAAAGCCCTCCGCTGAGAGAAGAACTCTTCGATGAGAGATGGAACCCTCATAGAGAGAGAAAGAAATTTTTGTTCAGTCCGAGTTTGTGATATTATGAGTTTCACTTTAATATTATGGTGTATCTATCAACCTGTTAATAAATTGCATATATAACCAAGATCTAAATTGCAATGTATTAAATTTTATGAAATTGCAACTAAGTCCTCAAGGCTTGTCAAATTTTCAAAGAGACATCCTCCTGTTGAATTATTTCTGTTTTCCCATTTGGTTTTTCCCCTTTGTTGATTTGCTCTGTGCAATTGATTAGTATTATGTATATGCAGATGATGTCGTCGTCGTTATCATCAAATCCGGCGAATTAATCGCCCACGAGGAGGAAAAGTGGAAAAAAATTCAGTTAGGCCCAAAAAAAATCGAAAATCAAAGTCGCGAAAAATCCCAGGGTAGAGTGGAAATCGGACGCCTAGAAGCAAAATCTACTCGGCGAAGCTCTGCCGCGCGCTGCAGCATGTCTGGAGAGGCGGCGGATTCTGGCTTTCGCCTCTCTGCCGGTGCGACGGATCAAGTCCTTGCGGCGACCGCGATGGGAGAAGGGGCGGCGGGAGGATGCCGCGCGGCCAGTGGAGTACAGGCTGGCGTCGGAAAATCCGCTTTCGGCGGCCTGCGACGGCGTGGCAGCAGTGGACTGGTCCGGCGGCAGGCGGAGGAGGAGGGCTAATCGTTTGTATATCTAACAACATTAATTATTGATTTGTGTGGGGTGAAAGATAGAGGAACGGTAAAAAAAGTTGGGACACTTCTTTAAAAATTCCCAATCTCTTTTCAAACTTCCATGTCAGTCCCTACATAAAAAAAATTTCACTACACTTCCTACCCCTCTAATCATTCTTCCACTTAACTCCCCCTTATTAAAATAAATCAAAACTAAATTGACTAATGACATCATCCCACTACAACCTAACAATACATATTATTTTATTATCTTTTTTTCTTTCTCTCTCCACTACTAACTTTCTTAATTTTTTGTTATTTTTTTTCTTTTCCACACATTTTTTATCATTTTCTTTTTCTCATCTTCTACTACTATTTTTTTTTAATTTTTTAATAATTAATATAGATTTATTTTTGTATAAACTATCAAAATAAAAAAAAATTTATATTTTACTATCTTTATTTCATATAAATATATATTATACTAAATCTATAAATCTATATTTTTGTCGTTCAAATTTATCAACTAATTCTCTAAAATTAAATTATAAATTTTAAATTTATTAAAAAATATTTATTCGAAGATCTATCTAATTTTCAAGAAGAATATATATCAACTAGTACGATACCGGTGTACTACACGGGTACTTAAATATATTAATATTTGTGCAATAGAAAAACTAAAATAATTTATTTTTATGTTGTAAAATTATGTATAATGAATAACTAACAAATTAATAATTAATTCAAAATGGGGTCCGTATTTTTACACTTAATTTTCTTAATTTATTTAAAATCTATGACAAAACGCATCAAAATGATTATTTTATGGTGTATTATGGAATTAGATTTTTATTATATTTGTTATAAAATAATTTATGTTCTATTCATATTTTTTAAATTATTTTTTAATAAATATAGTTTTATTTATAATGAGAGATATAATTATTTTTTATTTTATATATGTAATATAGATGTCAAATCGAATATCATTAAAATATGATTATTTTGAGATATAACATACAAAAAATAAAATAAAAATAAAAAATTATAAAGATTTAAAAATAAAAAGAATACATATTTATTATAATAATTATTATATGAATTAAATAAGAAAGAGTAAGAGTAGTATATGGTAACTTGAGAAAAAAAAAAACCTAAAATATTTTATGATAAATCTCATGCCTAAAACGGAACATGTACATGTATCCATACAAAACATATAATTATGCCAAATAAACTTCTGAAACATATGAGTCTGCCACATAGGCTCGTGGCATTCGGAAATTATATATAGGGGAGATTTATAAAATTATCAATAATATCTTATGACAAGTTATTATAGGGATATGCTAAAAATTGAGAATTATATTACCTTGATGTTATAATAAATCGACATAAAATTCGACTTTCATACCCATACCAAATAAAATTCATACCACTTATTTTATTTTCAAAATTAAATACACTTCTATCCATACCATATGAAACTCATATCATTTAAATTTGGACATTTCATGCCAAAATAAAACTGCACTCAATTTATTAATCATAATACTCAACTATTATCTTATTCTAAAATTTAGTGTCATATAATATTATTAAAATATTTTTTTAAAATTAACAACCCAATTTTATTATATGCAAATATTTGATATTTCTAACAAACAAAATTTTATACTCTAATAGCTTACGCAACACGGATTTCTATTTACACCGCGTAGTATAAGAATCAAAACGCGACAACTTATGTTATAAACATTTTAAAACAATAAAAGGAATATAATTTCAATATAAATGACCGTCAAGGCAAGATTATATTATTTATTGTGAAACCCCGTACGTAAAGAAGGACTACAATTTTCAATATTTATTTATTGAAAATTAAGCACATCATATATTTTTTAAAAGAAAATAAATAAATATTATGACAGGATATCGACCAATTTAATGCGTGATATATCATGCTTATCAGTTTCATATATGGAATATGTCGCTTAAGTGATTTTAATTGCAATAAATATGGAGTTCTGGATATATTAAGGGATGATTTTTATTTATATTGAAATTAAAAGACAAAGCTGTTTCCATAAAATGAAAATTACCTAAAAGTAAAATCAAAATATTTCTAAATTTCAAAATTAGAGCTCTGTTGAGTTCATGACCACTTGCCGAGTAAACTTAATTAAACACATTCAAATACTCAAAGAAAATAGTGTATAAGTGATTTTGAGTAATTTAAACATCATTTAAGACCGAAATTCGATGTTCTTTTATGTTCATTGGAATTGGTACTGAAGACGCGATATTGGGTACTAAACTACCATTTAAATTGTGCAAAATTATATAAAATATGTCTATTTAAAATTAGTACACAACTCGTACGGTGTACATAACTGATGAATATAAAATATAAATTGTGCAAAATTATATAAAATATTTGTTTTAAATAAATATTTTGGTAAAATTTTTATCATATATTTAAAAATATATGTGAATAATAAGTATACTATCACTGAATTATATTTTTATTATATTTGTTATAACATAATTTATGTTGTATTCATATTTTCGAAATTAGTTTTCTGATAAATATAGTTTTATTTATAATGATAGATGTAATTGTTTTTATTTTATATATGCAATATGGATGCTAATCGAAGATCGTTAACATATGATTGTTTTGAGATATAATATACAAAAAATAAAATAAAAATAAAAAAGTTATATCGATGTAAAAATAAAAGAATACATAATTATAACAATTATTATATGAATTAAATGATGAAGTGTATCATTCAATGAAATGAAGTGTATTAGTAGTGTTTTCTCATTAGTGTGTCGAGTTCATGACTATTTTACGATTAACCTCAATTAAAAATATTTTAAATCTCATATAAACTAATGTGAGAGTGATATGGGTCATATAAACATTATTTGAGACCGAAATTCAGTGTTTTTATGTGTTCACTACAAGTGGTACTGAAGTCCCAATACCAGGTACTACAACAATACAAAACTGGTACTATCTAACTCTATGTCTGGTACTACTTTTTGTAAATTGAACAAAATTGAAATAACCAATTTTCGTTCACAAAAGTAGGTACTAATCGATCAAAAATAGGTACCACGTAGAAGAAGATGCGGTACTATTTTGGCTAAAACGGGTACTATTTTAAGAATAGTGATTTCTCTAATCCTTCATGTCTACCATGACACGTTGATCGTTCATGCGTGATTTGGATGAAAAATAGTGAAAGTTAAAACATATAGGTAGCATTTGGAGTAGTCATGTATGATGATTCTATGAGTTGAAGTGTGTCATTTAATTAAATGAAGCGTATTAGTAGTGTTTTCTCACTAGTGTGTCGAGTTCATGACCAATTTGCGATTAAACTCAATTTAAAACATTTTAAATCTTATATAAACTAATGTGAGAGTGATTATTGGTCATATAAACATCATTTGAGACCGAAATTCGGTGTTTTTATGAGTTCGTTACAAGTGGTACTAAAGACCCGATACTAAGTACTACAACAATACAAAACTGGTACTATCTAACTCTATGGTACTACTTTTTGTAAATGTTGACCAAAATTGAAATAACCCATTTTCGTTCACAAAAGTAGGTACTAATCAATCAAAAACAGGTACCACGTAGAAGACGATGCGGTACTATTTTGGCTAAAACAGGTACTATTTTAAGAATTGTGATTTCTCTAATCCTTCATGTCTACCATGACACGTGGATCGTTCATTGACACGTGGATCGTTCATGCATGATTTGAATGAAAAATAGTGGAAGTTAAAACATATAGGTAGCATTTGGAGTAGTCACGTATGATGATTCTTTGAGTTGAAGTGTGTCATTCAATTAAATGAAGCATATTAGTAGTGTTTTCTCATTAGTATGTCGAGTTCATGACCAATTTGCGATTAAACTCTATTTAAAATATTTTAAATCTCATACAAACTAATGTGAGAGTGATTATTGGTCATATAAACATCATTTGAGACCGAAATTCAGTGTTTTTATGTGTTCGTTACAAGTGGTACTAAAAACCCGATATCTGGTACTAAAACACCGAAAGCTGGTATTATTCTATTCTAAGTCTGGTACTAATTATTGCAAATGTTGACCACAATTGAATAACCCATTTTCGTTCACAAAAGTAGGTACTAATCAATCAAAAACAGGTACCACGTAGAAGACGATGCGGTACTATTTTGGCTAAAACATGTACTATTTTAAGAATCTTGATTTCTCTAATCCTTCATGTCTACCATGACACGTGGATCGTTTACGTCTGATTTGGATGAAAAATAGTGGAAGTCAAAACATATAGGTAGAATTTGGAATAGTCATGTATGATGATTCTATGAGTTGAAGTGTGTCATTCAATGAAATGAAGTGTATTTGTAGTGTTTTCTCATTAGTGTATCGAGTTCATGACCAATTTGCGATTAAACTCAATTTAAGACATTTTAAATCTCATACAAACTAATGTGAGTGATTATTGGTCATATAAACATCATTTGAGATTGAAATTCGATGTTTTCATGTGTTCGTTACAAGTGGTACTAAAGATCTGATATCGGGTACTAAAACACCGAAAGCTGGTAATATTCTTATCTAGGTCTGGTCCCAATTATTGCAAATGTTGACCACAATTGAATAATCCATTTTCATTGACCAAAAGTTGGTACTAATTGATAAAAAAAACAGGTACCACGTAGAAGAAGATGCAGTACTATATTGGCTAAAACAGGTATTATTTTAAGAATCGTGATTTCTCTAATCCTTCATGTCTACCATGACACGTGAATCGTTCACGCGTGATTTGGATGAAAAATAGTGGAAATCGTGCACGCGTGATTTGGATGAAAAATAGTGGAAGTTAGAACATATAGGTAGAATTTGGAGCAGTCATGTATGATGATTCTATGAGATGAAGTGTGTCATTCAATGAAATGAACTGTGTTTGTAGTGTTTTCTCATTATTAGTGTGTCGAATTCATGACTATTTTACAATTAAACTCAATTTAAAACATTTTAAATCTCATACAAACTAATGTGAGAGTGATTATTGGTCATATAAACATCATTTGAGACCAAAATTCGGTGTATTTTTATGTTCGTTGGAGTTGGTACTAAAGACCCGATATCTGGTACTAAAACACTGAAAGCTGGTATTATCTTACTCTAGGTCTGGTACCAATTATTGCAAATGTTGACCATAATTGAATAATCCATTTTCGTTAACCAAAAGTTGGTACTAATTGATAAAAAAACAGTTACTATGTAGAAGAAGAAGCAGTAATATTTTTCCCAAAATTGGTACCATTTTAATGAGATGAAGTGTTGGTAGTGCTTTTCCATTTTTTGAAGTAATTTTGTTCTTTCTACAAAGTAGGTACTAATTGATCAATAACTGGTACTGAATAGAATAAAAGGTGGTATTATTTGTTGTAAAACCGGTACTGTTTTACACAAATCATTTTATTTTATATATATTCGTCGAAGTTGGTACTGAAGACCCGATATATGGTACTAGAACACCATATATCGGTACTATCTTACTCTAGGTCTGGTACTAATTTTGCAAATGTTGACAAAAATTGAAGTAATCCATTTTTGTTCTTTCTACAAAGTAGGTACTAATTCATCCAGAATTGTTACTGCATAGAAGAAGATGTGGTACTATTATCGGTAAAACTGGTACTATTCTGATGAAAACAGGTATCACTAAGAACTTGCACATCTTTTTTCCTTTATACAAAGTAGGTACTCAACACTGGAAAAATGAGTACTGATATCTCATAATGTTGGTACTTATGGGAGGAAAAACTGGTAACAGTTTAAAAAACATAAAAAAATCATATCATTCTTTCCCATCTGTGCACCAGGGTACATTTGTCCTTGCTGAACATGAGGCATCGACTGCATCAGTTGATAAGGACCTTGCGGCAGCCCTGGCTGCATAGGCTGCATAAACCCCTGTTGCATGGGCTGCATAGGAGTATGCTGAGGTGTCTGAATATTGTCTGAATATTGCAAGGGTGGTGGTTTTTCATACTGAGTAGCATTTGTTTCGGGATTCCAGTAATACATCACACCTGTATTTCCATCAATTAATCCTCTCCAAGATTCGGGTAGAGTTGGATCATCTAGAGCATATTTGGGACCAAGCGTACCAGGGGGTGCTTCGACAGTGGCCATTCCACACGTGAAACACACTAAAGAATTCAAATTTAGCATGCAACACAAGGGGATAGCACAATTGAATTCATCAAACCATAAAAGCAGACTCTACGAGCCCGGTACTTTCTATTGCTCGAAGAAAAATATACATGCACAGAAAGTAAAGATGAATAAACAAACTTCAACTAAACTATCAATTTGTAATATTAACCATATTAACCTCCTGCCAATTTCATTTTGCAATATCTACAATAAGGCTCCGTCATTAAATTAAATTTCCCACCAAAATCCATAAATAACAATGTTCTTATGTTTAGAAATGAATTCCAATCACATTGCAATTCAATTTCCCCTAACAGCATCAGAAACAAATTTCAAAAGCCAATCTACCAAACTCATCGGTGAAAATCATGCACTAAGTTTTTCCCCTAAAATTCAAACGCAGTTCTGATAGCAGATATTGTCATGAGAAAAAGAACAGTTGTCATAACCTTAGAAATTCAATTAAGCTACGTTGATTAAAAGCAGATAACTATCTTTACGCTGGGAGCCGCTCTGATAATGCACTAAAATCATAAGTTTTCCACTGCTCAAGTAATCACAATGAAAATAAACTGCCATTATAAGAATCAATTCTATTGAATATTAGGGCAAAATCCCTCACCCTGGTTGTAGAATCAAGGGTTTCGAAAGAGGTCGAAACTCTCTTCAGCAATCGATGGGAAAAGAATTATTGGAGATATGAATGAGAGGCTCTTTATGCTAAAAATCAATCTTGTCGAAATCGCGAAACATTCCCAGACAAACATATGATAAAAATGCATACCAATAGTGGCTCTTTTTCAATTAATCGACCTCAGAATAAACAGAGTTTGTAGCTTTCTCCAAATCTCAGTCAACCCTGTGCATCAGGTTCATCAATAGCTTCACAAAACACCGTACAGATTTCACCGAGTCAGCAACTATGTCCTCAAACAATCCAATCGTGAGCAGAACATCAAAACCGGCATTTCCCCTTTTCACCCCCAATTTCGGGATAAATCGACATTGCAAACCTAATTTTATCCAATTTCTTCCTCAAACCACTCGACTCGTCGTCCTTGGCGCCCATTTGCGACTGCAACAAGTTCACCAGCGTCTCCAGAACCCTAAGCGTGCTCTTATTCTCCTGCACCCAAAATTCTAGAAATGACACCGCCGGAAAATCAAAACCACCTTCCGAGACAGATCTCTTCTTCGAGTCCTTGTACAAGCTCTTTATCTTGGCTAATTTCCCGAGAATCAAGACTATCGACATGTCCGCCGCTTCGAGGGCATTCTGGTTAATCTCCGGCACGTGCGCCACCTGGAACTGGAGATACGAAGCTTCAAAGGATGAGACGGTGGCGAGGAGCGAAGGAAGGAGAGCACAAATCAACTCGCCCGACGAATTGTCTTTGCTTTGCACCGGGTCTGGTTTGACGACGACGACCTTCTGGTCGGGATGAAATCCTCGTGCAGGGAAAGAGAGAGAGAGTCTTCAATTTTTTTTATGATTTTCAGGTAAAAAAAATGAATAATAATGATATTAGTATATATATGGGGAGTGAATTGGAAAGAAATATTAATGATAGGGAGTGCAGAGGAAGAAAATTAAATGTGGGGACTGACAAGGAAGATAAAAAAAGGGAGTTGGGATTTAACTTGAATTTACCGAAAAAAGTTCATCTATATATGAAACAAGTCAAAGTAAAGTAATTTGGCAAAATTAACTTTTGACACACCAAGTTGATCCATTTCTAAACAACGCACACAGGATTGGCGCACATCTACACATGGACACGGGCAGGCCGGTTCACCCAGTGGCGGCTCCAGGGGGGAGGCAGAGAGGCTCTTGCCTAGGGCCTCAATTTATTTGGGGCCACATTTTTTTTTTTTTTTGGTTAATACGGTTTGATCCATTTAAATAAATGAAGTGGCCTAATTAATGAATGAGTAATGACTAAATATTGACTTAGCTCATTACACAAATAAAGATGTTAATTAATAAAAGGTTAAGGGCTAATGACTAAATATGTACTTGGTCCACTACACAAATGAAGAAACTAATTAATAAAAAGGCTAATGGTTAAATATGTAATTCGTTTGTGAATTTGAAAACCTAAATATTTCATTTATTTTCTTATGATGTTTGGTATGAACAATTTTTATTAGAATAATTAGTTTCAGTGATATTATTTTTTATTTTTTATCTTAATGTCCTCGTGACTACTTCAATGGAATTTATTAAATATCTCTGTAAGATAATTTATCATTTCCAAGATATATTTCAGGATTGATGAAAAACAAGAAAAATTATTTATTTATTTAGCTTGTCTTGTTGAATTAATTGTTTTTTTCTTCTCTGCTTACCACACAAATTCAAATTGATAACTTCGAAAAAAAAAAAAAAAATTGTCTGAGGCTTCCAAATTTCTGGAGACGGCCCTGGGCTCACCAGTTCGGCCCGGAACTGGCCCATGTTCATCGGGCCTTAAACTGGGCCCACCAGTTTGTGAACAGTAACTTGTACAAAAGATTGAATTAATAGATTAATTTTGATGTGAGCTAAATAGATGTAGCTTTTTATACCAATTTGATGTATCAAAAATAAATTTAATTTCTACCTTCCACCGAATAGACTTGATTTGCAAGTTCTCAATTCGTACAATTTTAAAGTTTCTCCAAAACACCACTGGGTATTGCCTGATGTCCTTATGTCTATGTAGTCTTGCATATAGGATATAGCTATACATCAGAATTTATAGAAATTTATATATTGTGAGAGAGAAAGCATTCAAGTATTGACTATTTAAAGTTTTTATATATTAATGTAGCTTAGAACAACTACTGTCTACTTGTGGCATGACGCACCAACACTATTGGATATTCTTTTAATATGATTTTCAGTCACAAAATTGAAGTAAAATTACTAATATATCAAACTGTATAGGCGTGAGAACCTCTAAGCAAGGGAGAATCTTCATACATCGATACAGGAATTTAAATCAAAATCAAATTAAGTTGATAAGTAGATTCTTGGGGCTAGTCAAAAGTGGCAATTTCCAAATGATCTTTTAGAAGCTGTCCAGGAAAAAAATAAATAATTAAATAAATAAAAGAATGAGGATTTTAGAAAAATTAAATGAAGAGAGAGGAGAAAAAAGATTTTTCGAAGTTGTATGTGTGTACGTATTTGTATTTGTCATTCGGAGAATGACAATGAACACACGACTGAAAAATAACGATCGACTAACAACAAGACACGTAAATTACGTTTTCGTAGAGTTAATTTTCAGTTTTTTTTTTTAAGTTTTTTATTTAACGGACAGTAAAATAAAACACCAAAATTTCACTTATTACAATTACTAGCTAATGCAACAAGTTGTGTGAATTAAATTATTACAAATAGAGGCAACTTGACACCTTACAGAGGGAGAGTGGCCCCAATTAATAAATTTTAACATTTCGAAAGTGACTATACACAGGAGAAATTAAATTTCAGAATTCAAAGCTGGATGTATCTAATTTTGGATTCATCTATGGAAATTATACTAAATAGTCCCATCTTTTTAGGAAAACCAGGATAAGACTATGTT